TATGGAGTAGATGGAGTCAATGGATGGAAGGTTGACTTGTGTGATGGACTGGCCTGTGTTCACAACTCTCTGTAGTTTCCTATGGTCCTCAAAAGAGCAGTTGCCACACCAAGACAAGCTTCACCCAGATAGAAAGCTTTCTGTGGTGCAGCTAAAAAAATTGATTAAAAAAAAAATTATGGACATGCCAAGTTTCCATAGCTTCCTCAGGAAGGAGAGGCGTTATTGTGTTTTTTTCACTGTAGCATCAATGTGAGACAGATTGTTGGTAATCATCACTCCTAGGAACTTGATGCTCTTGACCATCTCCACCTCAGCAGTATTGATGAAGACAGAGGCATGCCCTCCACCTTGCTTCCTGAAATCAATGACCAGCTGTTTCCTTTTGTTGTTGTTGATGGAGAGATAGTTATCTTTACACCATGCCACTAAACATTTTATCTCTTCCCAGTATTCTATCTCATCATTGTTTGAGATCGAATCTACAATGGTGGTGTCATCAATGAACTTGTACATGAAGTTAGGATGGAATTTGACCACACGGTCATGAGTTCACAGATAATATTGTGAGGTGCTGGGTATACAGTATTGTGGGGTGCTAGTGTTGAGGATTATCATGGAGGTGATGTTGTTGGCTATCCTTGCTGATTGCAGTCTGTCAGGTAGGAAGTTGAGGAACCAGTTGCAGAGAGCTGAGCAGAGACATAGGTCTTGGAATTTGGAATTTAGTTTGGTTGGAATTATGATGATGAAGACAGAGTTGTAGTCAATAATTAGGAGCCTGATATAGGTATCCTTTTTATCCAGATGTTTCAGGGATGAGTGTAGGGCCAGGCAGATGGCATCTACCATGGACCTGTTGCAATGGTAAGTGAATTGCAAGGGATCAGGCAGGCAGGGTAGCTAGAGTTGGTGTGAGCCATGACCAATCTTTCAAAGCATTTCATAATTATGGAGGTCAGAGCCACCGGACTGTTGTCATTGAAGCATGCTGCATCTGTTTTCTTTGGCACTGAGATGATGGTAGTCTTCTTGAAGAATGTGGGAGCTCAGTTCATAGTAAGGAGAGTTTAGGGATGTTAGCAATTGCTCCCGCCAAGTCGATCTGAGTACACGGCCAGAGATTCCATCCAGGCCAGTCGCTTTCTTTCGGTTCACTCTCACAAAGGCTGATCTACTGTCTGCAGCAGTGATTGTGGGTACAGGTGCAGCCGAGGCTGTCAGGGATGCTGACACCATTTCATTGACCTTCTGTTGGAACCAAGCATAAAATGCATTGAGTGCTTCAGGGAGGGATGTACTTTTGTCTGGTATTCTGTTCTGCTTTGCTTTGTAGCCCTTTATGTCGCGTAAGTCTTGCCACAAACAATAGGTATCCATGCGGTTAGTTTGAGTCTCTAGGTTACTCCGGTATTTCCTCTTGGCATCTCCTGTGGCCTTACGGAGGTTGTATCTGGATTTCCTCTAAAGGTTAGAATTGCCTGACCTGAACACCTCAAACCTGGATTTCAGTAGGGAATGGATCAATCCACTCACTCTATTCTACTGGTTAACTTATTATTTCTGGCTATGTGCCTCTTCCTTTTCACTTAACAGAGGTCATGATGTGAAGGTGCCAGTGTTGGTCTGGGGCAGACAAGGTCAGAAATCAGATGACTCCAGGTTAGAGGCCAACAGATTTATTTGAAATCATCAACATGCAATTTTCTCTGCTCCAAAAGCTTGTGATTTCGAATAAACCCATTATCAGAGGGACAGTCTTTCATGAACTTCGAAATTTAACAGGGATATAATTTTCTATCAACACAGTCGTTTTAACTAACAACAAAACCATGAGCAGTTTAATTAATATCCAGGTCTCACTGACTACTTTCTCCAGCTGATTTTTCTGCACTTTTTTTTCTCATTAGGCCTGACACATCCGCATGGTGCGTGATATCTGTTCCTTCCCGAACATATTGTTCACTTCTTTCATGAACTGACTTGCAAATCATTCTCCACTATCAAGATCAAAACCTCCCAAATTCCCCAGCTCCCAAAACATGATGTTATCACTTAGAGCTGAGACTGGGAAAACAGACAGATCAAACTTATCTTTACATTGAGGGATGCAAACTGATAAATAAAGGTTTAATTACTTTTGTAATGTGATTTTTAAAAAGCCCTGGATACAAGCAAAGCACCAGACAGCTCAATAACAATGGTTACCTTTGAATTGATCAGATAACAAGGTTTTGGGAAATAATACCAAACAGCTTTTAACAACTTTTAAAGCATTCTTTTATCCTTGTGTTTAGCAAAGATTGCACTTTATAACAGCAGTCTCATCCAAACACAATCAAACTTATCCATTAGTTGCTAAATAAAAAATTATTAAGTCAAATACTTACTGTTACATAAGTTCTATTTAAAAAAACTATTCACCAGGCTAGCATTTATTGCCAATCCTTAGTTTCCCAGAGAGAAGGTAAGAGCCAGCCACATTGCTGTGGGTCTGGAGTGGCATGTAGGTCAGACCAGGTAAGGGTGGCCACTATCTTCCCTGAAATCCCGAGATTCGCTCCCTAGTGGCATTGTGGGTCTACCGACAATACATGGACTGCAGTAGTTCAAGAAGACAACTCAGTACCACCTTCTCAAGGGCAGCTAGGGACAGAATAAATGCTGGCCTAGCCAGCGATGTAGATGGGTTCCCCCCAGAATGGTGATCATGAGTTTTAATTGTTTTAGATTTTAGTTTTAGTGTTAAACATTTAAGTGCACTATTTTTATTGAATTCAAATGGTCCACTTTGTGGGACTTGACATTGCCCGAGTCCCTAGGCTAATAGTAGAGGATAATACCACTAGGGCCTCACCTCGCCATATTATGTGGATATTCATTCTCTCATAGCAGTTCCTGACACTAATTCAAATATTTACGAACTAAATACAGCCAATGATTAACATACTCAGAACTTCTGACAGCATCAGTGAAGAGAGAAACAGAATCAATGGGCAGAGTTTGAACATGTACAATGGTGGGGGTGACAGTGGGGCTGGAGAGAGCCTGATAATTTTTGGAGTTAGCAGTGTCTCCATGTTGGGAATTAAAGTGAGCTTTACCATGGATTTTCACCCACCCCCCCACACCCAGTAAATCATATTGACTGAAGAATGGAAGGTGAGATGCAAGGGGATGAGCAGTATGATCCACTCAATGATGGTTTAGATTATTGACCTTGAGAGCTCCTGTTGATAAAAATTGACTGTCTGTCATGGAGTATATAACGTTTTTTGACTAGCCAGCACCCTGTAACTGCATCATTTACCAAATGGGTTAATGGAAACAATTTTAACTGTTCCCTACGCAGAGAACACATCTCTTAACAGACCAGCTGTTGAACTATGACAATAGATATTTTACAAATATAAATACAGAAGAATTAGGAGTAAGTGTTGGTCATCCAGCTGTGAAAACCTGCTCCATGTTTCAGTAAGATCATGGTTAATCTGAATATAGCCCTTAGTCCACATTATTGCCCAACCCCCCAGCACAGATATCGCTCTTTGCCCCAGCTCCACACAGTTAACATGAGAACCAGCCTTGGAAATCAAATCCTACACACTCTTAACTGGAATGCCATTATTGCTCCAAGAAAGTAAATATTGTGAATAAAATATTGAATGAAAAATGGTCACTCAATACAGGAATTGTCTCCCTGACAGTGGAATTAATGTTCCCATTAACTCCCAATCCAACATGAGTGAACTCATTACACAAGATCTTCACTTGCTCAAATTGTTCCATGGTTCACTAATTAAAGCTTCAGTGTTAGACTGGACTGTTTATTTTATAACTGTGTTTTCATTTCGTTTCTTGCCTTTTAATTTCCTCCATTGCCTAACCCTAGTCATTGTTCCAATAGGCATCCAATCTTTTCCATGCAATGTAACATTTTTGTGAATTTCTCGATCTACCTCAGAACGGTTTGTGAAAGAGAAAAAGAACATTTTCTTTTGTATTTCCTGACTCTTAAGACTATTTTATTGATTCTTTCCAATGCTCTAATTATACGAATCAGACGGACACTTGTTCCTGTATGGTTGAAGTGGAGGCCATTCTGAACATATTGCAGTGTCAATATTGCTGCAAAACCCTCCTTCATTAATCCCTTTATTCCCTTTTAGGGAATAACTCCGGACCACACATTCAACTCTGTCATCTCCCTTACCCTGGGCTAATTCGCACTTTTCTTGTAGTCATCAAAAGATCACGATATCTGTGCTTCCATGTTTCGTGTTATTTTAGCTCACCTCCCCAGCTTCCTCAGAGGAAACTCTTTCTTAACCATGTAATTCCTATCACTGAGGAGGTTAATCTTTCCTGCCCAACTTTTATCTTCTCTCTAGTCTCACTGCATCCCATGTCCTTTCTTTGCCAACGACTGAAAAGAACGTCTCATCTCTCACGGCAACGAACTTCCTCACGCCCCAGTTTTCCTGTGTTTATGGAATATTCTGTAGAATTGTACTTAGTACTGGTCACCGTCAAAAAGCATTTCTTTATAAAACAAAAGGAATTCGGGAGAGAAATTGCTTTTTGGCGTCAGTTCAAAATGCGCGTCAGTATGGTGTAAAATACTGCAAGGGAGCAACGGATTGAGAAATATGGATATCTCTTGTACTGAAGAGATACCAGAGCTACGCTGTATCCTCAATCATTCGTTGCGTACTGGAACAGCGTTCTCAGCCAATTCCCTCCTCCTGCCCAATCCTCTCTCAGTCTCCCCAGTCCCCATCCCCGCACAACCCTATAATATTCCCATTCCCCTTCTGTGCTCGGAGCCCGTTGATCATTTACTCAGAAATTCATTCCTCAGACCAGCTGGAGCACAACAATAATTCCCTGAGCATTGCAGCGAATTTAACGGGGAAATCGCTGCGCTCCAAGTACTCAGGCAGCACAGCGACTTCGAAACTTAAAACTACAAATATCATCATTAAGTGCTGAGTGTGAATATGGCTTCCAAACAGCAGGTCCACAGTTTGACCGAGGAAGCAATTTGTCCCATTTGTCTGGATTTCTTCACCGATCCGGTTATACTGGATTGTGGACACAATTTCTGCCGCTTCTGTGTCAACCAGAGTTGGGGAAAGAAGGAGATAAACTCCTGCCCGGAATGTGGACAAGAGTTTCCGGTAAGACAAAAGGTGAATTGGGCTTTCGAGAACCTGACGGAGAAAATTCGAAAAGTAAGCCTGAATCCACAAGAGAAGGAAAGTAAACGTCTCTGTGAGAAACATCAGGAAGAACTGAAGCTGTTTTGTGAAACTGACAAGAAATTGATCTGTCTGATTTGTAGAAATTCCCGGGAACACAAATCTCACAATTTCATGCCGATTAAAGAAGCTGTTGGAATCCACAAGGTAAAAGGAAAGATTCCATTCCCTGATTATTACATCACATGTTCACGGTCTAACACTTTTATTTTCTGATTTTCTCTCCCAATCCCAGGATCGGGTGAAATCTTCCTTAGATTCTCTCACAGAGAAGAAATCGGCGGCTGTAGAAATGGAGCGGCAGCAAAAACAGAAGATTTCCCAAATTAGGGTAAAATCTCCCTGAGTTGATTCTCTGGGATCTCAGTTAGTTTTGTTCCCTTTAACACGGGACATTAATGATGTTACCCATTTCATTTTATAGAAATAGACGAACAGTCTGCAGACCCACATCAAATCCTAGTTCACTAAGATGCACCAGTTTCTCACCGAGAAAGCGCGGAATTTACTCGGAGATTTCAGGGAACAGGAGGCAATTATTGTTGAACAAATGGCGGAAAATCTTCAAGTTATTCAGAAAAAAATAAATTCTATTAAGGAGAAGCTTTCAAAGTTCGAAAAACGGTTGGAAGAAAAAGAAGCAGTGATATTTTTGGAAGTAAGGGATTATGTTTCAGTTTAGCTCAGTGAAAGTGGCACAGAATATGAGTGGCTAAGTGATAACACAGTGTGGAGCTGGAGGAACACAGCATCAGAGGGGCAGGAAAGTTGACGGAGGGTCCGGACCCGAAACATGAACTTTCCTGCTCCTCTGATGCTGCCTGGCCTGCTGTGTTCTTCCAGCTCCACACTGTGTTATCTCTGACTCCAGCATCTGCAGTTCTTGTTACCTCTGATATGAGTGGCTAATTTGTTTTTTTTCATGAAGCAAAAAAGAAAAAAAAGAATACTGCTTTAAAAGCAAGGTTGGCGGAAGGATTACAGCGTGGTTTTGAAAGCAAACAACTGATTTCATTCTCAGTACCGTTTGCTCAGTTACTGGGTAAAGCAGCGGTGAGAGATGTTTACAGAAGAGCTGGTGGAAGGGTGTCTGGAGGATTTGGTGGTGGGGCTGGGGGTTTACTTTGGAGTTTCAACTGGCAACAAGCAGCTGACTGGTTTATAGGCCAGTGAATTGTTAGTAGTGAAAAAGGCTTTTTAGCTTGCCAATAACGATGTGATTGGCTCCCAGGTAACTGAACAGCTTGTGGATGTATTCGGAAGAAGGGCCACTGTACGTTAACTCTGATTTCTGTCCGCAGGTTTTGCAAGATATGCTGAGATTTCCGTGCAATTTCTGTTTTGTTTATGGGTGTGAACGGGTGAAGCCACTGGAGGAGAAGGAGCTGTATTTGCTCCTCAGTAAAAGCAGTTCAAACCTGAAGATTACCTTTTTAAAAATCCTGCCAGCGGTTCCTATATGCTGTGTCTCTTAATCAATAAACTAAAGACTTTATGAGTGTGATCCTTCTGCCTGGTAGCTGTCACAAACCGGTGAAAGCATCTAGAGAAGGAAGACTGAGAGGCAGCATTGTGATCAGGTAAAGCATCATCTCAGTATCTTCCTGTGAACAGGGACCAATGAACTGCCCTCCCAGTCTTCCTACATCTGTGGCAAGAAATCACACTTAATGTTTTGAATCCAGTGACTCATCATCAGGTTTTGATTAAGAGTCACAGGAATTGAAATGTTTAAAAACCAAAAGAACTGCAGATGCTGTAAATCAGTTCTGAGGAAGGGTCACTGCACCCGAAATGTTAACTCTGTTTTCTCCTCCACAGATGCTGCCAGACCTGCTGAATTGAAATGTTTACTCTGCTTTCTTCCTGCAGATTTGTTTTTGTTTCAGAATTTTTGGCATCGACAGTTCTTTGTTTTATTCCCAGTCTTCTCCTGCATCAATTAGATCGATATTTATTCTCTTGTGCAACAGGTAAAGGGGAAGTTTATGAGGAGGGTAGAGTTTTAAGAAGCAGTTGTATGCTGATGGTTCACAATTGCTGACCAGTAGTTAAGACAATGCATTTCTAATAATTAGTGTTTCTTGTTAAATCATTAAACCTGGACCATACTTTCTTTCAGTCTTGTGCATGAAATTCAGGTGAACTGGAGAATTCTGCATACTTTTTAAGAGATTTCCAGGGATCATCAGGGCTTGATTTCCAGTGCATTTCCTCTGTGAAGTGTAACAATATATCAATTTCTGGGCAAATCTGCAATTCTCACTCTATTGTGGTTTCTGGCAATAGCTTCAGAATTTCAGGAAAAGACCTGAAACTCCAAAGGCTTTGTTACCATGAATGTCATGTTTAGTTTGTAATTATTCCTGTGGCGTTTCAATGTAATAGTTTCCTGAAACTCACGTTGCAGTGAAATTACAGTGATGTGTGGTGAGTCTGTACGCAGTACACTGAGTGTGAAAATGGCTGCCTGTGAATGGCTGATATTGCTATGTATCCGACACAGAAACTGGACATTTCACTCTATCTGGTTTCTATCAAATGTTTCAAACTAATGTGGCCTAATTTTCACTGATTGTTATAGAAAGATATCCTGTCAGAAATTACATAACTTTTCAGTGTTAAACAGCTGACCATTCAGTTCAACACGTTTATGATCCATATTAGCTCATTCTAATACCACTGCATCTGACTCGAAAATCATATCATTCTTTTTCTGTAGACCTCATGAGTTATCCAGATTTCCCCTTCCAGGCATCTCTACTATTTGTCTCAATCATTCTTTCTGGTAGAAGGGGATGGGTTGGGACTGATTAGGGTACTGTCAGATAGTGAGACGATGCAAGTTGGTCCTTGGGAAGAAAGACTAGAATTCCTTTTTTTTGCTGTTTCCCTCGAAACTTTGTTCGGTGTGTTTTCTTCACATATCTTTACATTTGTGTCTTGACATTTCGCAGCAGCTTGTAACAATGTGAGTGCAATTGCTGCTTTCTGGACAAAGACAGTTAGTCTCTGTCAACTCAGATTTTTGTTTGTTTATTTCAGGAGGAAACATCTCGGAAGAGGAGGTAGGACATGCACTTTATTGAAACTGAGTTCAAATTGGTGAAGTCGCTCAGGAATGTGATTGTGATGAATTTACTACTGACTGTTTATTATTTACAGGATTAGTGAGGATATCAACGAGCTATCAGTGACTGTTGAAGTCTTGTCCATTGAAAAGTACAAAATCCCTTTACAGTACACAGTGTGGAGGGAGATGTTTGATCACATCAGGCCAGGTAAAATTTATAAGTTCCCAGGTGCAGTTTCATATCAAATTTCTAAGTGTAATCTCCCAAATGATATCAGCATGATGTAGTTGCTAAGGTCTGTAGTTTAATGTGCTTCAGACTGGAATCCCACTCTTACACATACACTTTTTAAAAAGATCTTCCTGTTGAGCAGTGAGTGATCATTTCAGTTTTCACAACATGACACCACAATCTATGTTCCTAATGAGCTTTGCGGAGTTCAGCAAAGATTGCATTAAATCATTGGTGGAATTGTTAATTAGTGTGGGAAGCAACTCACTATTTCTCCGCAGTGTGTTCCAACTGCCTGTCCTAATGCCTTGTGTCCACCAGGAGCTTGTCCCGTTGGGAGTGAAGGGAACAGTTTCAGTCTCCAGCCATGGTCACTTTGTTGCTGTTACATGGGGCGACGGTGAAGAATGTTGATGTGTGGAATGTGGGGACTCCTCATTCAGGGAACAGAACTGAAAGTTGTTTAAATGGCATTCAGATGGAGCAACGTCCTTTTTCAGGAAGGTGTCTCTACAGAGTAATGGTGCACCATGCTGCTGCACTTCTCCCTCCAGGGAGGTTTATTTTATGCTTACACCCCATTGACACTAACTTGTGGTAAGATTACTTTTGATCAATTGGTTCAGAACAACAAACTCAGAAGAGCAGCAGGAGGCCATTTAGCCCCTTCAGACTACATTAGCATTCTTTCAGATAATAACTGGTCCATATCTGAACCCCATTTTCCTGATTTGAATCTATCTACAATCATACCCTTATGATCAACTGATCAAAGTTTCAATTGATGCCCCATTCTCATCAGCAATTTCTAAAGGAGTGGAGTTACAGGTTTCCACTACTGTTGGTCAGTGAGGCTGTCCTCTGCTCTGGGCTGAGGAGAAGGAGATCGACATTTGTCCCACCCACTCAATGAAGCAAATTTTGTTTCTTGCAAGTTTCAGGATGTTTTTTTCTCCCAGTCATCCCCCAATGATAATGCAGAGAGAAGAAGTGGAACTTCAGTGTTGTGGTCTTGGTGAAGATTGAGCCTCCACGTTATTCCCACATTTCTTGGTCCTGGTTCCTTGTGTATTTCCCAATGTCTGGTTGTCTCTTTGCTGGTGTTGGGAACTGTGGGAAGTCAGGAGGCTGTTGGTTCTATATAGAGGGACTTGAGGTTTGTGAGTGCAGCCCAAAAATAAAAGTGGTTCCATAAATGGCAGGAGCAGCTCGGTGAGTGACAGTGTTATTTGATTTCTCCCCCAGCTCCAGCCTGTCTGGCTCTGGATCCGAACACAGCACATCCCCAGCTCACCCTGTCTGAAGACCTAAGAAGTGTGAGAATTGGATACAAACGGCAAAGGATCACACAGAGCCCAGAGAGGTTCGATTCCTGGCTCTGTGTGCTGGTATCTGAAGGATTCACATCAGGGAGATATTACTGAGAAGTGGAGGTGGGGAATTAGATTATCTGGGACCTGGGAGTGTCTGGAGTCTGCCAGGAGGACAGGAGTAATCGACCTGACCATTGAGGCTGGATATTGGACTCTGTCACTGAGTCCCAGCAGTGGCTACATTGCCCGTACTTCATTTTTAAGGACATCCCTCACGCCAAGTGTGGATCCCAAGAAGATCGAAGTTTTCCTGGATTATGAGGGTGGACAGGTATCATTTTACAATGCAGACAACATGTCCCATCTCCACACTTTCACCCACACTTTCACCCACACTTTCACTGAGACAATCTATCCATTCTTTAGCCTGGGATCAAGCGACATGAAGAAAAACTCTGCCCCACTGACCATCTGCAGAACAATGGTCACAAGCACCTCTCCCCCACAATGTCAGACCTGCTCCCTGCTC